ACAATAGGTGTTCAAAGTGGCATACTACAAGCCAGGCAAGCAGTCAATAGCTGCATTCACATGGATCCGTCATGATTTTAACCTTAAAGTTTGCAAAACGTCAAAGTTTTAACCAGCAACAACTGTTCACAGGGGACCATAACTATAAACTTACAAGCTGGGCATGGAGTCCTTTTAACTATAAGGCTGCCATATCGCCTTGAAGTTGATTGCATTTGCACGGCACATAACTTTGAGTTGGGAAGGCTCTTGGTTCATGGTTTTTAACTTTCAAAACCACGAGTGCATCTGAATGGTCTGTAACTACAGAATAACCTCAAAGTTTTAAAACCATGAGCTTAACTTTAAGCTTACCATTCATCGTGTGAACCAAACTATTGATACACCTCAAGCTGAGGTCAAATTAATAGCCCGCTTCATTAGTCCGCCAAAAAGGAGTAAAAAGGTGAACAAAAGCCGTCGGTTTCTTAATGATATCCTTCCTGTACGACCCAACCCACTTCATCAAACTTTCCTCCCATTAAATTAAGAACGGTTCAATGGTTGGGCCAAAAAATCTTCAAATGGTGCTCGCTAGTCATCGCTGAATTTGCCTCAGGTATCAGATTTAAGGTGACCAAGAATTTGAAGCGAGGTTCAGGAAAATTCAGAAAATGGTTAAAACTTTTCTCTTACATGAACCAACCACCTTCTTCCAACTTTCCTTCCATTTAATTAAGAATATTTCAATCAATGGTTGGGCTAAAAACTTCAAAATGGTGCTCGCTAATAATTGCTGAATTTGCCTCAGGTAACAGATTAAAGGTGACCAAAAGTTTGGAGCGAGGTTCAGAAAACTTCTGAAAATGGTTAAAATTGTTTCTCTTACATGACCCAGCCAACTTTTGCCAACTACCCTCCATTTAATCAAGAATATTTCATTGGTTAGGCTATAGAACTTTAAAAAGATGCTCGCTAATAATCCCTGACTTGGCCACAGGTAACATATTAAACGTATTAACCAAAAGTTTGGGGCTAGATTCAGGAAAAGTCAGAAAATGGTTTAACTTTTCTCTTACATGACCCAGCCAACTTCATCCAACTTTCCTTCCATTTAATCAAGAATGGTTCAATGGTTGGGCTTAATGAAACTTTAAATGGTGCTCGCTAATAATCGCTGAAAAAGTTTGGAGCGAGGTTCAGGAGAATTCAGACAATTTTTAGACTTGTTTCTCTTACACGACCCAACCGATTTCATCCAACTTTCCTTCCATTTAATCAAGTATATTTCATTGGTTAGGCTATATAGAACTTTTAAAAGATGCTCGCTAATAATCCCTGACTTGGCCACTGGTTACATATTAAACGTGACCAAGAGTTTGAAGCGAGGTTCAGGAAAAGTCAGAAAGTTGTTCAACTTATTCCTCTTACTTAAAACAGGGAAATGCGTAAGCAGGGGAAAAAATACACGGGGGCTCGGGGCAAATTAGCCCCGGACATGCACAAAAGAGCCCCCGAAAGCAAAAAAGAGCCCCCAAAATTTGCATAGAGTTCAATGCAAACAAATTAAAGAGTGTTATTTTCATGCAAAACAAGCTTGAAAAGTAGCCCCCCCCCCCCCAATTTTTAATTATTTTTTTCCCTGTGCGTAAGAAAGTTACTCATTATGATTGTTTGAGGTCACTGATTTGAACAGCCAAACTTTGGTATGACCTATAGAGGTCTGTGAATCATTGTGACATTAAAAAGTCCTAAAAAGTGACATGATCAATTCTGTTTTCAGGCTTCAATACTTTTTGGGGAAAAACAAAAATCAGCATTTTTAATTGTTTGCTGCCATTTGTCATACGAAGCACAAGTACTGCTACAATATCATAGAGTTGATATATTTATCAAAGTTGAGCAAAATCACAAAATTTATTTGTAAGGACATCTCGTTCTGATGTGATCCTGTGTATTTTCCCTTTTTTTTAATTCCAAAAGCTGTTTTGGCTCAACAAGCATTCTTCTACAAACAAGCACCCAGATATCGATGTATCCTAACAATGAGAACATTTTAAAAAGACCTTATTTACACAAGAAATGAATGTGGCAAACTACTTTTTTATTAAAGGCATCGTTTAACAATGATAAATCTGAGATGTTATCAGTGTCTGTGATATGGTGTAATATTGAAGCCCTAAAAAAAAAGTGTTTCAAAATGATCAAGAAGTGCCTCAAAAAAGTAAAAATCTTTGAGTGACCGGTTTTACCATACTTGTTTTCCCCAATAGACTGTAGTGTTATGAAAACCGTTTGGTAAACGGTTTTCAAAATTTGTAATTCCAATCATAAATATCTCGATAATCAGACAGGCGATCGGCTTGTAAAAGTCATGGGGTTCCTGACTGACCTAAAGGTTTATGATTATCATTGCAGCATGAGCTAAATCAAGGATTTTGTTTCAGAATCTGAGACAAAGTTACCCGATCCCTTTAAAAAGGTGTCCCTAAACTCTACATGCACACCTGTACATTAAATTTGAGGCGTGAAATATGAGTGAAATTTTTATGAAACGTGCAAACAAATGTACCAGAAATGCTAGCGGCATTACTTCCAGAACAACTGCCCTTGATTAACTTTGTTACCATGAATTAAATCTCACAAGTTTACTGATCTAGATCTTGAGCACAGCCCCCCCCCCCCCCCCACTGCCTGTCTGTCTGCCCCCCCCCCCCTCTCTCTCTCTCTCTCTCTCTCCGTGAATAACCCATTGATTCCATTCCAACAAAGTCAAAGAGCATGGAATGGAGCCTAGCCCCTTGACCTTGACTTGTACTGTTGATAAAAGCTAAGTAACTAATCCTATTACAATTTAAGACAAGGTTCAGCGCTAATGCCATAACTTCAGGCAATTCTGGTAATGTTCACACGGCAGTCCGTGAACTTAACGTTTAGGTCGTGGGTCATTGTTTAAACTTTAATAATAGATGTTATGTTTTTTGTAGTTGTGGATTGTTAGGTTGCACTCATGGTTATGAATCTTAAAGTTCACTCAAAGTTATTGAAAAACAAGCTTATGGAAAGTTCAATAACTTCGAACCAACATAGGGGGTCATCACTCAAAGTAATGTGCCATGTGGACAGAATTGCTTGATATTACGCAAGCTTGTAGTTAAAATGACATTTAGCCAGACTTGTCATTTAAAACGTTGAATACTTATTGTTTCGGTCTGGTGTGGACCCTTCATGTCGTTTGTGGATTGTTGTTTAAAACTTCCAAGATTTCGCAAACTTAAATTTTAAAACCATGAAGGTTTCGTGTGGACATAGCTACCTTAAGACACAGGCTCAATGCTAATGCCATAACCTGAGGCAATTCAGCCTAATTATTGACTGCTCTAGTGGAGCTAGGAGCATTGTTTTACTTCTATTTCCGCCAGATTATACCTGAACGGGACTGTTGAAACACAGCATTATACGGATAATGATTTTATCCTAAGCCTTGGTGAGGTGGAAGAGAGCAAGGGGAGAGGATGGGGAGGGGGGGGGGAGGGAGTGAGGGAGGAGAGAGAGGGAGTGAGGGGGGAGGCATGAGGGAAGGGGCTATCTCAGGCAGAAGGCTACAATAGGTAGGAGGGAAGGAGCCCACCCCCCCCCCAAATAAAAAAGGAATTTAAACAGGTGCCCTAAGTAAACTGGCCTTTAAAAATTTAAATCCCCCCCCCCCCCCCCCCCGGTAAAAAAAAAATCCCTACAAGTAAGAGTAGATCCCGGAGTTTCAACAAAACTGCTAACTTTTATTCTTTTATTCATATTTATTAATCCATGGTTTACAACTATAAACTCATATCATGGTTCACATTTGACAAACACATTAATTAAAAAGTACTTAAAATATTATGTTGTAAATGGGAAATTGTACAAACACAACGGCATACCAAATCAAGGTAGACAAACCATTGTACAGTAGGTTAAAACATATAAAAGAGAAAAAAATCAGGAAAAGTCATGTTACTGCATTAAAATTGGTCAAAAGATAATGATAGTTTTGTGAATCCAATTATCGAAAGTTAAGAAGGTTATGGCTTTCACGTTTAAACATGGAATACGCTGGAAAATCATTCATCATTATTTTCACATTTCAAGAAGATGAACATTTCATGAATCCCTTTTAGACTCAAGCACTAAAGTGTGGGAGGGGGGGGGGGGGGGGGGGGGGGGGAAGGAGGGGTTTTTCAAGTATTATTTTCATATATATATATTTAAGTCTGCTGAAGACAAAGAATTGCTCCTTGTAATTATCATAACCACATGGCGTTTCTTGAAAACAGACCGGAGCAGAAATAAAGAAAACTCAAATAGAGCTCTTCTCTCTTCCTAAGGATATTGGGAAGGAGGCTAAACCGATTCTGTGCCAAACTGCAGGTAATTAGAGACACTATAGCGGTGAACTTGTCGTATTTTGATATAAAATCACAAATTTATTTTGACTTTACAGTGTTATCCGTCACATATGAAACCAGTTACAGGCGCAAAACCTTGCAATTCCCAAAGGAGGGTCTGCACTGTGTTGGGGCAGTAGACTATTAAAGGTTACACTGACATCGTTCTTTAGATACATATTCAATACAGACGTCTGCAAGCTGTCTTATGCTTGTCTCAAGGTAAAAAAATCTTTACAAAATAGAAATTATTTGATTTTTAAAAAATCCATGAACTATGAAAATAGTTTGACCTTGCAAATTGTAATATTTTGGTCTGACCATGGCTTTTATTACAAAGCTAATTGTAAATCAAAATAACTTGTTTTGAAATTATTTTTTCCAATCTCAATGGACAAATATTCAACTGGGTCTGTATAATGTAGACTAGAGTAAAAAAAAAATTGATTATGATAGATACAGAAGTACAATTCATTTGTATATCTCAATGTCTCATGCCTCCTAAAATAAAGACTAGCATTAAAACACAATTTTTTCATATTTTGTTTATTTTTGTTCATTTTGTTAATAAATGAAGAAAGAAAACATGTGACTTACCTTACATACGGAAGAACAACCATTATATGGTTACTAAGCACAGCTATTGTGTACCTGTGCAAAATGAAGAAAAGAAACAAAAGAAGACAAAAGAAAAAATTATATTAGATATCGAATGACTGTAAATATTTAGGCTGTAATTTGTTGTTAAAACATTATTACAGCAATAAAGGATATAAATATGCAAAACGATAGCGATACAAATTAATTACAAAATCATACCAAAGTAGACAATTAAACTACTTCAACTAAAGTTTTATTTACATTTTGTTAATGTGGGTAATTTGCTGGTAGGAAATTGACGCATAGCTTTGACTTGCCCCTTTAACATCTTTAAAGTTGTTACAAATTCAAATTCATTTACCTCACATCTCTTTAAAAAATACGATGTATGCAAAAATGAACAATTTAACAGCAATATTGTATAGAAAAAATAATAAGGATACAAATGAGAAAGATGTGTACACTGTGATGAAGTGGATGTGGTGGAGTATCAAAGGCCATTGACCTGTCAACGTTGTATCAAAATGACTCTGTAATATTGCCTCAGATTCTGAAACAAAATCCTAAATTTAGCTCATGCTGCAATCTTAATTATAAACATTTAGGTTAGTCAGGAACCCCATGACTTTTACAAGCCAATTGCCTGTCTGATTATCAAGATATTTATGATTGGAAATCAAAATTTCATTTTTTGTTTTCCTAACAATTTTTATAACACTACAGTCTTTTGGGGAAAATGATTATAAATGGTAAATCTGTCACTCGAAGATTTTCACTTATTGAGGCACTTCATGATCATTTTGAAGCGTGATTTTGTTAGGAATTCAATATTACACCATATCACAGACACTGATAACACTTGCATCTCAGATTTAACATTGCTAAACGATGCCTTTAGCATTCATTGTTTAATGTCAGTATAAAGTTGAGATGTTGAGTACACAGAATGGTTAGCATAATGAAATGAAAATTAATCTCATTAAAGACTGATTGACATCAGAAACTTGAACTCTAGGGCCGTTTGATAACTTGATACAACAATGGCAAACTTAACCTAGTTTGTGCTAGTTTGGTTAGACATTTTTATTATTATTATTTTTCAAGGTTAGACATTTGCACGCCATCTCCTCCTCGACAAGTGCCATATATTAGTTGATTTCCTGAAACAATGTTTGACTTCATGGCGAACTTAACCTAGTTTGTGCTCTTTCTAAACATCCTGCTTTAATACAAGAACAAGATAATACAAATCAACAGCGACAACAATACCTTTGGTTAGACAATTTTATTATTATTATTTTTTTGTTGTTCATTTCCTCCTTGACAACTTCAATATATTAGTGGATTTCCTGAAACAATGTTTGACCACATATTGCTGGTACTTGCTAATATGGAGTTGAATATGTGCTACATGTAGGTAGTATTATAGTAGGTTCAGTGTTGATTTTTGTTCGATTTGGGAACACCAGAGAAAATAAACTCTCAAAATTTGAAACAATGCATCCTTGTTTCTGTGGTGGTCTTATTCTTTTCTTTCTTTCATTTTTTATAGTATAAATTACATGTTACCAAACAAAAATGAAAGTTTAAGTGGCAGTTTAACTCTAAAACAATTTAAAGGAACTCTGGGAAGCTATTTTTAGAAAAAAAAAAAAAAGAATCAAGTTCGTAGAAGAACTGAGGGAATTACATCAGTTTTACGCAAGTACTCCAATGTATAAAAGAGTAATGACAGAGTCAGTTTACAATCTTTTCTTTATTAAAATATGGAAATACACTTTGAACTTTAAATCTCTTAATTTAACACCTGGGTGGAGAGTGTTGAATTTTAATCCTCCCATTTCATGATCGTTATGGTAGAATTTTCTGGTTGGATGACCATTTGAGCAGGATGTTTGAGAATTATTATCCTAATCTGGTTACTTTAGAAGGTTAATGAAATCATATCTGTACAGGTGGTGGACTTCCTACGAGTTTCGGTTTCAAAACGCAAACACCTTTAAGAGTGAGAGAACACAAGCTTTCATGATCATATTTTGCCTCAAATGAAACAGGTCAAACTGCATGGGGTTGCTGAGAATCTGCCAATCAAATTCTTTGAAAGAAAAAAAATCATAGATGATGATGATAATAATAAAATGGTATGAAAAAGTTATAGCATAAAAATAATAATGATAATCATAATAATAATCATGGATAGCTCTCCTATTTGTCATGTACAAAACTGGCATTATTTCTGATTTTTTTCTTCTTCTCCAAAAGTGCCTAGAGTATGTCAGTTTGAAGGGCAGGTTCATACATGTATGTACGTGAAGAAGGGAAATTTAAAGAGTATACAATATATAGTACCCCCTTGAGGACTACTCTTCATATGTTATGGATAGCATATTATTATAGGTCCTTTTAAAGAGAAAAGAAATTCCTGATTACCTATAGGGTTTTTTAAAAAGTCATTTTGTGTGTTTGAACGAATAGGGAAGTTAATTGTCTGGCACTTCGTCACAGTGACATACACTGCTGATTCAGTCAATTTGAACTGCCCATACCTATCTAGTGATGACAGCTTTCAAATATTAATGACTTTCTCATGTTTAATTATTCTTCTACTTCTATTAAAACTAACTTGGTGTCAGGGTGGACTACTTCCCAGTTATTCCACAACAAAGGTCATACCACGCATATGTTGCATGCATATAAGCAAACACAAGACATGTGAAGTGCCCTCTTCTACCTTGAAGACAAACACTTGAAGCGACGTATTATTAAAAATAATCTGTCAATTCTTAACTGACGCTGTCAAAAATTATGAAAGACCAGCCATGGATTTTGGGAAGTAAGAAGGTGACAGGTCGCATCCTAAGTTAGCTAATAATTAATGATTCAGCAGTAATTCTACTCGATCATTTCTTGATGTATGTTTGTCAGCTCCTACTCAAATCATATTTCTTAAATTTTGGTATTATTTATATTTTTTTGCATTTTCTTCATTTCTCTCATTTTATCTTGATTTTGTCCTGAAATTTCTCCAACCTCTCCATTGCATTCTATCGCCTCTTGCACCTAACTCTCTCTTTCTCTTTCTCTCTATCTCTCTCTCTCTCTCTCTGTTTGCCACTCTGTCTGTCTGCCCCCCCCCCCCCCCCTCCCACAGCTCCCACAGAAATCTCCCCCCCCCCCCTCCCTCAGAAATCTCTCTCCCCCCCTCTCTCTCTTTCTCTGTATTTGCTACTTTGTCCGACTGTCTGTCTTCTTCCCCCCCCCCCCTCTCTCTCTCTCTCTCTGCCACTTTGTCCGACTGTCTGTCCCCCCCCTCTCTCTCTCTCTCCCCTCCCCCTCACAACAAAAGCCCAGACTCACTGCATTGTTCAAAACAACCATTGGCTTCAATCACAAACCACTTTCACAAAAGTTCTTAAAGGCAAACTTTGCTTGTGTCCGCACATAGCAGGACAATAGACAGACAAGAAAGAGGGGAATTCTTTTCCCCATTCACAAGCCATTTCAAGATGTTCTTTGGATCTTGTTTAAACCCCAAACCTCTCTCTCCTATCAACAACAGGGTAAACAGAAGCCGTTGATAAGGCACAAGGTAATAGTGACACCATTTCACATCCCAGTTCCAAAACTCATGTTTAATACAGGTCTGAAGTCTGTGAAATTATGGGACACACAAGGTATCGAACACTTAATCGGAGAAAGGGGACATTGCATGACAGAAAAAGATCTAAAAGTAATCAAGCCTGACCTTACCAGAATAAAATGTCAAAACACAAATAAATCAAAGACAAAAGGAAAAAGAAACAGCACCAGGTTGTTCCCATACAAACCTAAACCTCCTACATCATTTCCTTTCCAATATTATATTTTGCTCAGATTTCATTTGTAAATTCAACGGAGCAAAGAGAAAGTCGGCAAAAGACGGCAAACATTCCATCATCTCCACGGTAAGCTAAGTTTCTCTACTTCATATATTGGCTAGAATAAAATCAGACAGAAAATTCCATTTCCGTTGAAGTTACATGCCATGCTCAAACTGAAAAGAACGCATATTGTCATGTAATCGCCTCAGGGAACCGAACCTTTTTTGCACAATAGGGCAAAGATTTCATCATAAGATTTGACGATTAGCACAGTAGGCCTGTCTTCACTATCTCGAGATTGCCAAATATCCAGCTATTTGAACTATCCCGATCGGAAACTATCCAGCTAATTTGCGTCTTCATTTTAGACCGATGTAGCAAATTAGCTGGATAGTTGGTCGGGATAATATCCCAAGATATCTCGGTCTAGTTTGCAAAATATCCCACTATTTCCGAACTAGCGGGATAGTTTGCGACCGTCTTCATTAGACCAGTTGTACTAGCGCGCGCACATGCGATCTATACCGCTCAGCGCGCTAGTACACATGGAAAACTGGAAATCGTTGTGCATGATGGGATCGGGATATTTGACTCCGGACTTCGGTCTCAATAATGAAGATGGTCGCAAACTATCCCGCTAGTTCGGAAATAGTGCGATATTTCGCAAACTAGACCGAGATATCTTGGGACATTATCCCGACCAACTATCCAGCTAATTTGCTACTTCGGTCTGATGAAGACGCCAATTAGCTGGATAGTTTGCGATCGGGATAGTTGAAATAGCGGGATATTTGGTAATCTTGAGCTAGTGAAAACAGGCCTATTCATACTAAGCAACACTTATATCTATATGGGCTAAGCGCAGATAGTTAATTGCCTGTCATTATGAACAGATAACGACATGGATCATCTGCATTGGGGCTTGAAATAGGATAATAAGAAAGGCAAAAAAAGGTAGTGTAGTAAGGAACAGGTAAAAAGTCAACCAAAACAAGCTGAAAACATGACTCCTTTATATTAGAAAGCAGATTGTAATGCTTTCTTCAGAATGAACATTCCAAATATATGGTACATGCATTTCATTGAAGTTCGCATTATAAGTACTGGTACAGGCATGTTAAGTGATACAAGCGTTACGCTAGTAAACTTTAATTCATCTATTTAATGTCTTTTTTAGTACAAGAAAGTTCG